ATGGGAGTGGGGAGGATAAATGCATCTGGCAGGCTACCTCTAATGGCCAATTTTCTATTAAAACTGCCTATAGCACCTTTTATCTGGATGAGGGCAGTGTTAATTGGAAATGGGACTTTATTTGGAAGCTTCATGTTCCACCAAAGGTTAAGACCTTCCTCTGGCTGCTGTGTCATAAGAAGTTACTTACGAATGCTCAAAGATTGAAGAGAAAGCTTACTAATGCTGCTGTTTGTCCCAGATGTGATTGTCCTTTGGAATCTTGTGCTCATCTCTTTATGGAATATGCTGCCACTCTTGCTATTTGGAATAGACTTGGATTTGGGAGAGTGGAAGCTGGTCGGGATGATTTTGATGACTGGCTTTTGCATAATTTGAAATCTAAGAGGCTTGTTACCCATGGCCTGCCCTGGTACTTGATTTTTGCTATCTTTCTCTAGTTTATATGGAAATGGAGATGTAAGGTGGTTTTTTATCAGAATTTTCTCTTGGATGCTGAACCTCATCTGATGATTTATCAGTTTGCTTTGGAGTGGTTTTCAGCTTGTAATCCAATGGCTATTCTCCCTAAGCGTAGTGTTGTTCATCTCCATTGGATGGCCCCTCTTCCTGGTGTTTGTAAAGTCAACACTGATGGTAGCATAATTAATTCCTCTGGTCTTATTGGGGCTAGGGGTTTGTTAGAGACTCTTGTGGGAATTGGATCAAGTCTCTGTGAATCTAGGCTATGGTTCCATCATTGAGGCTGAGTTATGGGGGATTTTCTGGGGGCTTAATATGGCTTGGGATGCTGGGTTTCGCATAGTGGAGATTGAGTGTGATGCTACTTCTGTTGTGGCTTTGTTAAAAAGTCCTATTTTGTCAACACACCCTCTCTTTAGTATTATCAACTGCTGCAAAATGAAGATTCATGAGGATTGGTGCTGTTCTGTGAAGCATATTTTCCGTGAACAGAACTGTGATGCGGATGCTTTAGCTGCTAAGAATTATGCTCCGATTTTCAATGGAAGAAACAAATACTATGGATTTGGAATTGAGGAGATTATATACCAATGTTTTCGACCAAGTTAAATATTGTATCGACCTAATTAATATG